GAAACAGATTATTATTTATCGATATGTCAATCAATATATTCACCCTGATCTGTTCATATTCTACATAATTTAATGAAGCGGTGTTCTTCTGGCTACGAATTGTTATAGATACAATCTACGACCATATAAAAATTTGAAACGTTCCCAGGAAAAATAATTCATGTATGTCAAATTCAGCACAGGTATTACTGTTCATTCTAAAGACTTGCAACCAAAAAAATGACACATTCTATTTTAGGCAGCCACTGGGTTTCTAACAATCACGTATCCCTCGTAATATCTTGACTGTCTAATGTTCAGGCTGGCCACTACACGCCACCAAGAAATAGTATCAACCGGCCCGCCCCAAAATTACTATGCTAATTATAGTGTTGGGCCGTCGGGGTTATATTATGACCAAGGTGCTTATAGCGTGATCAGAGGTAATATTATTTTTCAATAATTTTTGTGGCGCGATGCCTCGTTCTCGGCTTCCTTTTTTGTTGGCTGTCATTACGTATTTTGTAACAGATATTCTTCCATATTCAGATAGGTAAGTATATAGTATTATCATGACAGTATAGCGATTCTTCATCAAATAGAAGAACAACCGTTATTATTGCACAACGTCCAATTTCATACGAGTATTTGGTGTAAGTGCAAGACCCTACCATATCTCTGGATGTCCATATTTATACGAGTGCTTGGGCCAAGACACTGCCGTGTCGTTGTATATGAAATTTATTGTAAGAATTCATTCGTATGAATAAAAACGTACATTTTAAATTTTGGTGAAAGCGCATTCGGAATTTCGGTGGCAAGACATCATCCACCATTTTATTCGAGAAAAAAAATCGCTTATTTTGAAGATTCTGATCAATGGAACAAAACTATTGAATTACTCTATTGTTATCGGTCTTTAATAAGTGTGCAAAGTTCGATTCATTGAAGTTTTTATAAATCCAATACCAAGCTAATAAAAGCGTGTTGAAAAGCCAGAACAGTATATCTTTGTCACATGTGAAAATGTGAATGCATATCCTATTCTTGATGTCTATTGACTGATTTGTAACAAGATTCACAAGGTTATCTAATGTCTGATATTATTCCGTTCAGCATGGTGAAATTCATTACACAGGATGTCTCGCGAAGATTGAGACAGGAAATATCTTGGACCTCGAGAGAAGTAGAAAATTGTTATTTAGGGGTTGTGAATTTAAGCAATTGGTGCAGCTCTTTCTGATATTTCTTTACCCAATGAGCTTATTGTTTTTGGCCAACCTGTATATTTTGGCATATATATGTTATATCAATTTTGTGGTCTAGAACGATTAATTTGAGAACAATAGGTCAATGCTGGGAATGAAGACCTTGCTGAAATCACAGCCTGGGGAACCAACAACCTAGTTGAATTCAACGCCACCAAAACTCAAGCCTGTATTTTCTCAAGAAGGGCGGAACTCAGTATGCCCGACATTGTAATGTCTGGCACCACCATCCCCACCAAACCCACCATATCTGCTATGCTCGGTATTTCCATCAGCAACACTCTTTCATGGGATAATCATGTCAGATTCATCGCAAAAGCTGCTTCACAAAAACTCGGATTCTTGTTCCGTGCGAAAAGCTACTTTACACCTCAACAGCTTCTCATGATCTACAAAGCGCAGATACGGCCTGTCCTAGACTACTGTTTCCACATATGGGATTCAGCACCAAAACATGCGCTGATGCTCTTAGATTTCATCCAGAGAAGAGCCATCCGCCTGATGGTGGGTGACGCCACACTCACTCATTCACTCTTTGACATCATTGGAACACCGTAGGAAGGCCGGCGACCTTCCACTTTTCTATACTACTTCCACGGAAAATGTTCTTCGGAAATCTCTGCTTTCATCCCTTCACCAGCAATACCAGTCAGACAAACTGGACAAGCCCAGTAACAGCACATCCTTCCGTTGTCAGCCTCGAAAGATGTCGAACAGCACTTTATGAAAACTCCTTCATCCATAGAACGGCTAGGCTCTGGAATTCATTGCCTGAGGAAGTATTCCCAACAACATATAATCTCCAGAAGTTCAAGAAAAATCCAATACCCACCTCCTATCCCTATCCTCCCTAGGAACGCACGATGTTCTTCGAACATTATATGGATTCCCTTTCGTGCGCTCCAAGCGATAAAAAAAAGACTATCACTACAAACGTTTGAAACTATAGCACTTGCCACATTATTTAGGTTTAGTGTCACCCTATATATTTGAGCAGTCCTAGACAATAAAAAATTAACATCTTTTATTGAAAAACGTAGTGAAAAAACTCTGGGATGTTTGTATATGTTTTGTAGTTTTCTTCTTTCTTCCATTTTGATTTTCTACCTCTACCTCTGGATGGTCTGGATAAATGAACCCGAAAGTAAATCCAGGAGGGCAATTTCTGCTTCCACTGATTTATCCTCTTCTTGTTGCACGAACGCCACTGTCTTCACTAGCACGAATCCAATTTGTATTCCGTGATTTACGGTGAATTATTAACAATTAATTCGTGGGATTAATCAAATTCGGACTGAGATGTTAATTGGATTTGATAGTGTGTGGCAGATAACAATTAGTAACCTTATCTGCATATCGACTTGCTTGATTTATTTCTGACTCTTCAGTAAACGAGCTATATGAAAGATATCGCGTCAAATTGATTTTGATTGGTTGGTGATTCTCGTTGAATGAAATCAGTGGGATTTGCCATGAACATCAATAATGAAAAAAATTTGAAGACTCATTGCCATAGGAATAATCCATTTATTTATTTATTTCAACGGTTAGGTACACCATTTCCATAAAAGAAATAATAACAAAAGATGAATAATAATAGGAGCAATGAAAATTACACTCATAGAAAAATAGCACTAAAGTTAATTATACTCATTACATTAACTAGGTATTCATAATTATTTTCACAACATTAGTTCTGAATTTACTTAGACTGCCACAGAATAGGTCACAATGATTTTGAAGAAGAACATAATTCCTTTGAAGCCTTGAAATAGGGTCATTGTTGCCATAATTCGTTGAGTGAAAGGTCAATAAAAATGAAGGAGGATTTCTTGTTCTGGCCGACGTATTGAATCTGATCAAACTAAGTAGATCTGGAGGATTAATAAGGCCATTTACCAATTTATATAGGAAACACATATTCAACACTAATCTACGATTTTCTAAAGTTGGGAGATTGAGTTCCATTAAGATATCTCGGTGAGCAACAAAGGTGTCCAAATGATGGAATAATCATACTCTAGTGAAGGTCTGACCAAATGGCAGTAAAGTGAACTGAGTGTTTCAGGAGAGAATTGTTTACTGTTCAGTATTCCTTGAAGCAGTGTTCACTACCTTAGTAATATGACTTCTAAAAGTTAGTTTAACATCAAATATTATGCCTAAGTCCTTTATCTCATTGAATCTCTTCAATACAGAATTATTTATTCTATAAGCGTTCCAATATAATTATGACCCATTGAAAAACTGATACAAAAACACTTTGAAATATTGAGGTCCAAATAATTAACCCTAAACCAAACATTGAACTTATTCAAATCAGATTGCAGCAGATCAATATCTATATGATACTGAATTTCTTTAAATATTTTGAAGTCTTCTGCATATAACGTGAAAACAGAGTGAAAAATATATCTGCTAATATCGTTGACAAACAAATTGAAAAGTAACGGTTCACAATGAGAGCCTTGAGGAACTCCTGATTGAAAAATCGGTATAGATACTATCAACTTGGGTATAATTCTCAAAGGCGTTCAACAGGAAGTTCTGATATGTTGAGAGGTTACTAATGGTAGATTTACCAGAGCAGAAACCATGTTGTTCAGTAATGATTATATTCGAGATTTGTGCTGTTACCATTTTATCTGACATTTTGGGAATTTTTGATTGAAAACATATGCCTCTATAATTGGTAATATCCTCCTGGTTCCCAGATTTGAAAATAGGAGTAATATAACAGCTCTTCCAGTAAGCGGGAAAGCAGCCTGTCTGCAGTGAACGATTGAATATCGATTGCTATACCAGTACATATACAGAATATATTAGTTAAAAAATCATATTATAAATTGAAGTTACTTTATATGTATAGAGATATTCTCAGCACAAACTTAAAATTAAAACTCTGCGACTTCCTTATTTTGTCAAGGATATCATATGGAGATATTGCATTTTGGCCTACCCTCTTAGACAGAGACAAAACAAGTCTTCAAAAGGTGCAAAATTCTTGTGTAAAATTCAGCTACAATTTGAGAAAATACGATCACTTCAGTTCACAGTTTGCTGAATCTAATTGGTTGAATTTAAATGAACGGTTCATTCTCCATATCTGCTCTTTGATTTACAAAATCAATAAATATAGAATTCCGCAATACTTGCATAATAAATCAATCAGGGGAAGTAATGTCCACGACAGATCAACCAGAAATAATGATTTATATGTAATACCGAATCATAGAACAGCTCAGTACCAGAGATCATTTACATATATTGCCACGAAAATATTCAATGAGTTACCAAGTTCGATAAAAGATGCTCCAAATATAATCTCCTTTAAGAGACAAGTCAAATCCCACCTAGTTGAGGTGCGCACTCTATTTTGAAGTTGCTAGGTCACATGAGCCTGTGAACCTTAGAAAATATTAGCTGACAGCTAAGTTGAATATCTGCTCTGTATTGCCACGATATTTTGTACGTTGATTTAGTATTTTTAGCCTCTAATTTTAATGCCAAATTTTTTTTTTCTTTTTTTCGTCTACATAGTTTAACATTTACGACAGCAATTTGAAATGGTACTTTTCGGGGTTGCATGGAAGAGCAACGATGTTGAATGTCGCCCCATTTAGAATATGAAGTTGTATTAATGATTTAGATGAAAATAAAGACCTATTATTATTATTTTTATTATTATTATTATTATTATTACATTCCATCCCAAAGAAGAACACCCCCTGAAATACCCCTTTCTCGTTCCAGGTGTGGTTCCAGAACCGTCGCGCCAAATGGCGCAAGAAGGAGCACACGAAAAAGGGCCCCGGCCGACCTGCCCACAACGCCCACCCGCAATCCTGCAGCGGTGAACCCATCCCGCCAGCCGAGCTGCGCGCTCGCGAACGCGCGCGCCGCAGGAAAAAGCTGCAGAAGGCCTTGGAGAGGCAGGCGCGCAAACTACGCGCCAAGGGCATCGCCGTGGACTTGGTGGCCTTGAAGCGCGACTATCTGTCGCAACGCGGCGCCGAATTGCTTGATAGTGACAGCGACATCGACGTGGTGGGGGATTCGGGCGGCGAATCGGATACGTTGAACGGCAGCGAGCACGAGCTGTTCTCCTCGTCTTCGGAGTGTTGCGGCGTCGATTTAACTGCGACGTCGCAGGACGAGAAGTCGGTAAGAAGAGCGAACCCGTTCAGCATAGACTCTTTGTTGAACAACAACACCTGAGTGACTACAATGAGTACAATAAGGAATGAAAACTGTTGAATTGTGCAATAATGTATTTATTATCGGTTGTAGATGATGTCTTGCCATTGTTTCATTCTTTAGTTCCGGGAAAGAATTAATCGCAGTGGTATGAAGAAGGTTAGTGGTTCTCTCAAGGTTGATGGAGTCTTGTTAGGCTGGAGGGAATTGTGATGTGAAATATCTGAGGCAACAACTATTTTAGTTTGAATTGGAACAATCCACTATAGTATCAATCTTATTGGCTGCTGAGATTCATTTTCCTTGATCAAATTCGATGACAGAATAGATATCGGGAAGTACAAAAATCAATTAACAAACCGATCAATTCTATCTTACCTCTGACCATGACTGACAAGAATGAAGAATTTCTCGATAAATATTTTGAACAATTGAAATAGCATCATTCAATTAATGAATAGGTTTGCTCCTCCTACAGTGTTTTATTAAAAATATCTAAAATGTATAACAATGAAGGCACGTAACATTGAGCATAAAATAAATCAGTTAATGAATCGATTGATCATTCAGTAAAATAATAGGAAATTCCAGTTTCATACGATCTCAAATGTTTGTATTATTGTTTCTATATGTTCCTTGACTGTTATGTTGTAATATGTTTGTAAAATAAGTGTAAATATCTTTATATACATATCTTTCAACACTCCTTCATCTAGAGAGTGTTTTTGAATGAAATCAATACACATAAAAATGTTATAATACCTATATCGCATAGTGTATATTTTCGAAACACCTCGTTCGTCCAAACTATAACATAATCTATGTATATAGTACCATCCCATGTAAATATATGTTCCTTGAAACATTCCAAACATTAATAATTTATTACTAACTACCTATAGGTGTAAGAGACACAATTGTGCAGCAATACTAAGAACAAGTTCAAATCGTCTACTTACCTATTATTTATTTTACCATCATATTATAAATATACTCGACACGTCTCGAGCTTTCATTAGAAACATTTTCTGTAGCGTGATCTGTAAATAACACAAATATTTGTCTTTCCAACCAAAACATAATCTGTACCAAGAATGAATTATAATATACAACGAAAATAAAAGTATATCAGAGGTAACTCTATAGTTGATGATGATGTTACCTGCATTTGAATTCTTCACCAGTGATCTGCAGTACTACTGTATCATAGTATAATAAAATATTATTTATTCGATAGAATGCTTTTTCTTCCAAAACTATAAACCCTTCCTTCAATCCACTATTTTTCTCATACGATAAGTGGTTTTATATAGAGTATAGCTACACGGAAAATAATCCTATACCGAATATATGAAATTCATAGACTCGATATCTGAATGTCATATACCCGGCGTGACAGCAAAGCGGATTTCTGAAATTATCCGACGCGAGTCACTTGTTCCAAATACACTTTGGTATCTAAAAACTGAATCACTTCCATATATTCCTAGATAAACATCCTAGAGATTCAGATAATCTTGGCATATCAAGGTAGAAATCCCGTTTTACCGAATTAGTAACCTGGGCATGTGAAAATGAGTATCTAGTTAGCTCTTTTCCTGAAATCAGTATACCTTTCATATAGAGGTAGTTATCCCTTCATATAAATCTAATAACCATGTCATATGAGGCTTATGGTTTTGTCCTTTGAACCTGAAAGTCTCGTCATATGAAGCTAGTGGGCTCCTTATTCAAGCTAGTAGGCTAGTCATATGGAGCTAATAGACTCGTCATATCAAGCTAGTAGACTCGTAATATGAAGCTAGTAATCTCGTCTTGTATAGCTAGTAATCTCGTCTTATACAGCTAGTAATCTCGTCTTATACAGCTAGTAATCTGGTCTTATATAGCTAGTAATCTCGTCATATAAAGCTACTAATCTCGTGTATCTATAGCTCATAAGGTTCTATAGACACCAAGCATAAAGTCTGGAATGTTTAAAATCATGAAAATTGCTCAACACGTTTGAAACATTGTTGGTGCGCAGCGAAGGCTTCGCCGTGGACTTTGTGGCCTTGAAGTGCGACTATCTGTCGCAACGCGGCGCCGAATTGCCCGACAGTGACAGCGACATCGACGTGGTGGGGGATTCGGGCGGCGAATCGGATCGTTACCACCGATAAAACAAGGCCAGCAGACTCTGACGTAAACAGCTCGTGACGTCGCATACTCAGGCCAGGCATTCGCGTCGATTGATCGTCAGTTTGTTTTTGTTTAAGAACGGTGGCGTAGGTAAATCGCGTGTGCTCCATGTGTGCTCGAATTCTCTTGTTGTTTATTCATCAAAATAATTGGCGGAGAAATTACTGTTTTGTGAAATATTTCGTGTTGTGATGGCGAAATAATAATGCCTTACAAGTGTTGTGTTCCCTTTTGTCGGGGGAATTATGTGGGTGGTCCAAAAGTTCATGCTTTTAGTTTCCCGTTGGACAAGGAACTATCGAAAAAGTGGGTACATGCAATTCACCGCAAGGATTTTACGACTCCATCTAAGTACAGTAAAGTATGTAAATTACATTTTACTAAAGATGATATTATTACTTCATCTAGTGCAACCTATTCAAAAACTGGCAAAACTGTAACAATAGATTTGAAAATTCCCAGGCTCAAACGAGATGTTATTCCCACTCAATTTCCCAACTGTCCATCTTATTTATCGAAATTACGCACAAGTCGTGATGAAAAACTTGAGATACTAGAGACTAAGAATTTGGCACAAGCACTTACCAAAAGTGAAACTGAATTCGAAAATTACCAAAAATCATTTTGCTACACAGAATTTCAAGAATTTCTAGTTGTATTAGAGTCTTTTCAGTTGCCCGAAAAGTGGTTCAAAATTATCGATTTGCAAAAAGTCACATTATTCTCCAGGGCCCGTAATTACATATTCGGTTGTGATTGATTTTGTTTTGAATGTGGAATCATTTTTGTATGACCAAGCGATACAAACATCTCTAAAAGCCAATCTGAAAACACCTTTTATCTCTAATAATATCAATCAAATCAAGGAATTACTAATTGAAATAGATAAAAACGAGATACATAATTCGGGAAAATGTCTTGATAATCAGAAAAAGAGGGTTTGGTTTCTGACTCGATACATTCTCAAATTTCTTTCTGAAAACGGTCATTTGCCTCGTGGCAATGAATGCAGAATTCATTCCAATGATCAAATTGCAACTATTATATTAACATGTACTACAAACACTCTACTTAAAAATCACTGTTTCAAGTCTAACGACCAATTGGGTAAAAAATCCAACAACAGGAAATTGAAAACACTCACTGGCTAATTTTTTAGGTAATAGGAATTCTCCAAGATAAATATAGGTAATTAGGTATAACAAACGGCATGTCTATCAAACTGAAATACATTTTCCCCAATTTTCTTTCGATCAATCTCATGATGAGTTTATGTTCTGCGGGCCCTGTATAAGTAGGTGTGAAGTTTACCTCTAATGAATCACTACAATTTTTGCCAATATATTTAATTCGAATGGGTTGCTGTAGGTGGGTATTTGTGTTTTATTCTGGTTTTTGCTTTGAAACTTCGTTTTTCCATAATAAAATAGAATGGGATGCGAAGAAGGGCTCAGTTGACGGCTGGCATCCTCTTTCAACCGGAAGCTCAAAAAAAAAAAGCAAAATCGGCTCAATAATGATCTAAAACTAAAATCGAAATACGCGGTCGCCTTATAGCGCTATAAGCACTTGTCGTTTCGAGCCGCTGGTTAGGCCTGACTAAGTGACGTCACCCACGGAGCATGCAGGCCTTGTTTTATCGGTGGTAACAATCGGATACGTTGAACGGCAGCACAGATTAACAAACCTTTTGTTGATCTGTGACGGCAGCGAGCACGAGCTGTTGTCGTCTTCCTCGGAGTGTTGTGGCGTCGATTTAACTACGACGCCACAGGACGAGAAGTCTATGAGAAAAACGAATCAGTTCAGCATAGACACTTATAGTTGAACAACACCTGAGAGACGAGCATGAGGAATAAAAACTGTTGAATTGTGCAATCAGGTAATTATTATCGGTTGTAGACGAAGTCTTGCCATTGTTTGGTTCTTTAGTTCCAGGAATTAATTAATCGCAGTGGTCTGAAGAAAGTTCTTCGCCCTTTGATGGTCGATGAAGCCTTATAGGCTGAAGGTGAAACAATCTTCGAATCCTCTTTGTGTTTGTTGAAACAAATTCCACTAATGTTTACCTATCTTATTGGCAGCTGAGATTCATTTTCCTTGATCAAATCAGATCTGGAAATATCATGACAAGATAGAAATTAGGAAGTGCAAAGATAAACAAACAAACCCATCAATTCTATCTAACCTCTGACCATGACTGAGAGGAATGAGGAATTTCTCGATCAATATTCTGAAAAATTGAAATAGCATCATTCAATTAATGAAGTGTTTTCCACAAACTGAAAAGTTTTACTTTAGTTCGAATAAATGTTTCCTGAAGCTGAACCTGGTTTTCTATTCCACCTGGTAAAATAATGAATTCAACGTCCCAAATTTAAGCTCCATACCAAATTTGAAGAGAATATCTTCAGTTACGTCGAGGTACCTGACCTCGTATAACAATTATCTTATACAGAAAGCGCCCTATATTTGTTTAAAAAATATGATGCTTGCGTGTTGAACGATCAAATTTCCCATCACTTATCTCACAACTTTTTCTTGAATGTTTTGGGCTGATTATTTATTCGTTCATGCATCCTGACGAATTATATTCCAAATCCATCACCGCATGTTGCGTGATGATTTCTCGACATACGTGAAGAATGAAAATTAGACCTCGTAGGGTCAGAAACAATCTCAGCAGCATTTCTCGAATAGCCCACATAATAATAATTCAATTACCAGAAAATAATATGGCCACGATGAAAATAAACATTCTATTGCGTGTTGGAAATAGAACAAACTACACTTCGATCACGTGTATACGACGGGCTTTAATGAGCAGGTCATGTGTTAGATTAAAATGTAAATGACAGGTTTTGTGGGCCTAATGAAGTTATTATATGTAGGGAAAAACATGAAAACCCGAGCAGTGTGGTGATTTAGTTATTGTTTGGGGGTCGTTATAGTCCTTACAGCTAGATGTTTCCACGATAAGGTCAAAAATGAGTACACTAATAGAAATTTCTAGTGTTATTTAATAGTATCAAAGATTAAGGACATCATGCAATGAAGGGTATTTTCGTGCAGTAGTTACGATAGTGGAATGAAGTTCATTAACTTTCATAGTGTAGCTGAAACGGAGATGGGTCGCTGCTTTTGACCCAACGGGAAAGAGTTTCCCAATTTAGTTTCATTTGAGAATCTGAAAAGAAATTACAGAAACACGGTGGGAAACGAAGGAATATACTACTATAAGTGCCAGAACTGATTCAACGAATTTACATATGAGATGGCTCAATTTTCTAATCAAATTTGCTCCTGAAACGGTGATTTTATTGAAATAAAACTCTGGAAATTAGATTTCCAATCGTGCATAACTCTACACTCCTCAAAATTTGAACATTATCGACCCTTCTGGATGGAATTCGGATATTATTGTATCCCAATTATATGTATTGCATATAAGATGTTCAGAAAAATATACATCTTCTGGGACCTATACTCCTTTTCAAACACCATTATCTACTTCAGAAACTATTGTCGGCTTATATGGCAAATGATATTTTCTCAAGTTACGATGAACAACTTTTATTTTATACGAGGTAACTAACATCAAACTGCTATGGGTAGTAGAGTAGTACAATATCTACCGAAAATTGAGACAGTACCTATATATCAAGGTTTTCATAACTGAAATTGCTGATGATTTTTGGCATGATTTCGTGAAAATAATGCATTAAATAGATTTGAAGTTGATTCATCAATTATATATCATGATTTCGAGATTGCGAAGCTATATAGGGTACTTATATCGAACCGAATTGAAACATTAAATTGAATATCGAAGTATACATTTTTTGTACAGAAAAATATTGAGTAAATATCTTAATAGATGGCGACACTAGCCCTCCATCGACGCTTGTCTCTCGACAGCCTTCAAATAGTATCAGCTCAGAGATGTTTTGTAATGTCTCAACTCTCACTACAATGGATCATTCCATACACTGAATACTAATGTTATTATATCAGAGTCGTGTTATTCAACACTCAAATGCAGACAGGAAAGC